TGCAATCTTCAACAGGGATGCACCTCATTCACGGTGTGCTGGTGGCTCTGGCTCCTCCCTTGTCACTGCTGCCATCAGATGTTGTGTCTGTGCCACCATGTGCAAGGGCTGGGGGCTGTAGAAATGTGCTTCTTGTTGATGGAGTGACAAAACTATTATTTGTCTCTTCAAGAAGGAAATAAGTTTGAAAGTTTCTCCTTTTGATTAGGTGAAAAAGGCATCTCATAGGTTTGGGTGACTTCACCTCAAACTTAAAGATGGTTAATTGGACAGGAGCCAAAAAGTCCTGCTTAGGCAACTTACCAGAAAAAGAAGAGAACAAAGAAAATAATCGCTTTTGTGAGGTGTTTTACTAGGAGCAAAAGGGCCTCTTGCACTTGACTCAGTTTTTCTCTGTAAAGGGTTTTGTTATTTTGCCTTTTATTAAAACCTTTTCGTTTCCAACACTGCAACAGAAGGCATCCTGCTGATCTTATGCCTTTTAAAGTGGCTGAGCTATCTTGAGTGTGAAATAGACCTCCAAGAGCTCATGAGACCTGGCTCAAGGAGGCTCCTATTTCCAGCCTCCCCAGAGGGCTCAGGGCTCACTGGGAAACAGTGTCCCAGCACTGCTCCTGGTGCCAAAGTCTCTGGCCCTGCTGCTTTGCTGTGTGAGGAGGTGGGGACAGTGGGACACATGGCCCTGCACTGAACCACAAGGCAAATCTCCCTTGTTTTTGTTTCCTGCACCATCCAGGGAGGCAGCAGGGAGCATGGTCATCTTCGGGGGCATTGATGAGTCCTATTTCACTGGCCCCATCAACTGGATCCCTGTCTCTTACCAGGGCTACTGGCAGATCTCCATGGACAGGTGACAAACCAGCTCTGTTGCTCTCTGGTCACCTCAAAGCATTGCTTCTAAAGAGACATTGGGCCCATCAGCACCAGAGGCTTCCAGTGACATCCCCACCCCAGGGCTGAGGGATGCAGGGGGATAAGGGGACAAACTCCGTAGTGCTTTGGTAACTGACACCCAAAATGAGGATGCTTTGTGCCTGGAGCACAGCCTAGTTCCTGTCTTGTGATTTAGGGAATGTCTGGTGATGAGGAGAGCAAAATCATGGGTCAAAACCTCCTTTTGTTGGGCTGGAGTGGGTCCCAGCTGCTGGGATGTGTTCAGTGCCCACATCTGCAATGGTGGCTCTGCAACTCCAGACAGGAGCAGGCTCACAGGCAGCACTCGGGGTTACCCAGCTTCAACTCTTATAAAAGAAGTTAGAAACCAACCCTGAGGCCCGTTGGTTATTTCANTGATTCTTATAGGCTGTATGGAAATGCTATAGGATTTGTATCTTGTACTAGATTGGTTAGTGAGAATTCGAATATTCAGCACAGAAGAAGATTTATGTTATTGTAACGGGAACTCCACTCTTTTTACTCTTCCTTGTTCTCTCTCATCCTCTTTACCACACTCTTGCCTTCTCTCTCTTTACCTCTCTCTCCCTCTTTGGGGCTACTCTGAGCTGTGGCTGGCAGCTCCCAGCAGGGCCCTGCACCCAGGCCCTTTGCAATAAACCCCAATTTCCATGACCTGGCTGCAGAGATCTCTCCTCTCCATCCGTCCCCCCTGTTGTAGGAGCGTTGGGGGTGGGACAGTCAGGATGGACGGACATGAGAGATCTCTGCAGCCAGGGCTGGGAACTTGTGGGTTATTGCAAAGGGCCTGGGTGCAGGGCCCTGCTGGGAGCTGCCAGCCACAGCTGGAGCAGGACTGAGAGAAGAGAGGGGCAGAGAGGATGAGAGGGTAAGAGAGCAAAGTTCCCGTTACAATACCATAAATCTTCTTCTGTGCTGAATATTCTGATTCTCACTAACCAATCTACTCCAAGATACAAATCCTATACCATTTCCATACAGCCTATAAGAATCAGTACATTACCATACTATGTCAAAATCAAATCCCCAGGTGCTCTGGGCTGTGTGCCAGGGTCTCTGAGCCCCCCAGCGGGGTCCTGGCAACTCTGGACACCCGGAGGGATGCACTGAGCTCCGACAGCTGAAGAGATGCAGAGTCTGTGTGTTACTCACTCACCTGCAGTGGTGTCTGCAGGAGCCTTTTCAGATGCAGAAGGTGCTGGGGCTGGGGGTGCTGTGAGGGAGGGAGGCTGAGAGAGGAATCCCTGAGCTGCCTCCTCGCTGTCATCCCTGTGACAAAGAGGGAATTCCCAGCTGGGAGCCTTGTACATCTCTCCTCTGTCAAACCTCAGTGAGAATTTCAGCCTTAGAAGGGTTTTTTTGTATATTTAACAAAAGAGATTATTTCTGTTCCACTGGAGTGACTGGGGCTGGTGCTTGGCAATTCTGGACACCCGGAGGGATGCACTGAGTTCCGACAGCAGGGGATCCCCAAATTAACCAGATTAACACCAGAATCCCAGTGCCTGCTCCAGGCCTC